TGCTCACTGGCTGAGCAAGGTGCGGACGCAACACCGAGGGTTGCAATCCCGTTGCCGGTCACGAAAAAAGACAAAAAAGGAAAAAAAAAATCTCATGAATAATTTTTATATTGAATACATGATGAAATGATAATATTTTGGTTATTTAGTAAAATCATGTATTAGGTTATTAGGGCTATTGTAACAAACTACCACAAGCTTGGTGGCCCAAAACAGAAACTTATTCTCTCACAGCTATGGAGGCCAGAAGTTTGAAATCAAGATATCTGCAGGGCCATACTCCCTCTGGAGGATCTGAGAAGTATCTGTTTCATGCCTTTCTCCTACTTCTGGTGGCTTCTACATATAGCATCACACTCTTGTGTAAATTTAGGTCAATATTTGGTGTTCCTTAGCTTATGGCTGCATCACTCCAATCTCTGCCTCCATCTTTGCATTACCTTCTCTTCTCTGTGTTTCTCATAAAAATACTTGTCATTGAATTTAGGATTCACTTGGATAATCCAGGGTGATCTCATCCCAAAATCCTTAACTACATGTGCAAAGATTTTTTTTTTTTCCCAAGTAAGATCACATTCACAGATTCTGGGCATTAGGACATGGACATAGCTTTTTGGGGACCACCATTCAACTCATTACAAATGAAATATATTATTTAAATTAACATCACCTCTTTCTTTTTTTAAAATATGTTTCTTTTTATTTTTTTAATATGGACACCTAGGAGTTAAAATTACACATCTTGCTTGAATTGTATTTCTAATGGACAGCACTGGTTTCTGGATTTAAAAAGCTAATGATAGTCCTCCTGTCCCAAGATCTTTTCTAATTTCCTTAATTTTAATCTATTTTAATGTGACCCCCACAGAAAATTAACAATATATTTATATATGCTTAAATTAGCACAACTTCTTCAAATACTCATATATCACCACCTATATTTTTCATAGTTACTGTGTAAGAATAATTAGACCTGTTTTTTAAATTAAAAAAAATTTCTAACTCTGACGGTGTTAGTGTTTATTAATGGTTGTAGTATTAGTATGGTTGTTCATTGCTTACTTTTTTCCACACACCCTCCTTTAACTCTGGGCATACAAGATTAGCTAGGACTTCTCAGACTGGAGAATTCTGACTCTTGGTTCAAACCTCATTTGGCATTCAGAAATATGGTCCCTGTATTACAATAATCAAATTATCAATGTGTAGATAATTTATTCATCACCTAGGGCTTCATTTAAATAATTTGCTGTCTTTTTAGTTTCCTCCCCAAACTATCTTCTTTCATCACCCTTTCCAATCCCTTTTAACCTCTCTGTTCCATCTTCTGGTCTTCATTTTTTTTAATTTAAAAAGCAGATCTAAATATTAAAAAGTGAGATGTTATTTGGTCTTTGGTACCCCTAAAAGTTTACTGATCAGACACTCTATATAAGCTCTCCCAGTATAATTTTCTGTGCCTTCTCAAGATGCCCAGAAAACACCATTCATCTTTTGAAACTCCACACCAAAATCATCTTTTATGAAGCCTTCCTTAACTTTGAGCAAAAAGAATTGATTCCTCCTTCCTCTCTATCATGTAGGACTCTAATATCAGTTTTGTTATCATGTAGTATGATAATTATTTATGTCATACCACCTATATAATATACACTCTTTAAAAATGGATAGAGACTATATTTTATCCACTTCATTCTCAATGCTTTTAATATTTCTAGTCATGTAATAAAAGCTTTATTGATACTCAAAAAAAATGCATCTCTTCAGTATATTTTTTTTGTACAAAGCAAGATGGAGTAAAAAGCAGGAAATAATTACTTCTTTCTTAGAAACCAACTTTTTATATGTTTTGAAATAAAAGTACCTTAAGCATGTTTTTGAGGTTAATAGGAAACATACAGGGATGTTATTTTATGCTTTGATGTAATGCAGAGATCGGCCACTGGTATATAATATGTGAGTCCTTTCCAACTTAGGGGTCAGTAGCTGTTTAGGATCTATTGGTACAGTGACATTCACTATTGGACCCTGTCTTTAGGAACATGAAAGCAGGAGGGAGAAATGAACATATAATAGATAATGGCAATAAAATGTGGTCAAACATGTTTGCAATATTTGGAGAGCCTTAAGGGAACTCAGTATGGGGGGAGAAGTGGATAATTTATCCTAAGGTGTCAGATAAAGTCTGTAAGGGGCCTGTCCCTTTAACCTTATACTTCAAAATCTTGCTCAACCCCATACAACATCACACTCTTGTGTGTTAAATTTAGGTATTAAGATTACTTAAATCTTGAACCAACAATTTATACACCCTATCCCACCCCTCTCCAACCCCTCTCACACAGCCACAAAGATAAACCAAAAATATCAACACCTGCTTTAATACTTTATTGGTTACATTACTGTTATTAAAAAGAACAAAGTCAGCAATAGTCCAGTAGTCCATTCATTAGATGGATTTTCTCCTTCCAAATTGCCTTGGAGTTTTTTTAATATTGCAAATCTGTCTTTTTGAGTGACCCCACAAAATCTGCTACATAATAAGAATGGTTTTACTAGAGTACTGAATGCAAGACATGCACTTTGACTGGGCTTAAACATTCTTTCTCTTAATGCAGATACCATGTTAAGGCAAAGGTATCAAAATAAATCAAAAATTCAAAAATGAATCATGGGCTATACCCTCACTCCACCATGCTGCAGCCTGATTGAATATGAATGAATATGTTTTAAGGTTCCTATTACGGACCTTTGTGATAATAAAATATTATCACTCATATGTCTATGAAAATCATAAAAAGTTCCCTTGAACTCAAAAATTGGCATTTGTTGCCTCAGAGGAATTTTTAATTTGTCATGGCATTCATTATGCCCCATTCTCAAAGCTTCAGTCTACTACTTTTCTATTTAAAAGTCACAGATTCGGCTCAGTTTCATTGGCAATACTTAACTAATATTTGTTTTTAATACTTGTACAATAACATGATAATAAAATACTATGCACTTCTTAAGGTGATCTTTGTTCCCTTTAAGTTACCCACTAGTATAGGCTATTTTCAAAAGTGTTAAGGAGTAATTCTAGTTTTATTTTCCTTTAGGATCCAGCTTTTTCTGCTTTGTTAACCACACAATCACAAGTGCAGAAGGAGATTGTAAACAAACACAATGAACTAAGGAAATCAGTCTCTCCATCTGCCAGCAACATGCTAAAAATGGTAAGGATAGTAATGTAAGAAAAGTGGTAGGAACCATCTGTGGAAGGAGCAGGCAGCTAGAAGCCAGTATCTCTTAAGAACTTTGTAGTTTACAAGGTTCTGTCTCTATTTTTACTATTTTATTTGAACTGTTATATGTGGAGGACTTTTTCTTTTTTTCTTTTCTTTTTTTTTTTTTTTTGCTTTAAATGTGGTTAAATAACTCGTCAGGGTTACAAGGTTATTGAATTGGGAAGGCAGAATTAGAAGCCAAACCTTTGAGCATCCATTGTGAAATCATCATATTTTTTATTCATTATCTTTCCTAATCTAAAATCAAGAAATTCTCTTTCCTTCAGAATCAGTGTCTATCATTTATTGTAAATAAAAGCCCACTTCTCAGGGCAAAGTCCCTGTAAGCTGAGTTATCTCCCACATGAAAGCAATGGGCTACAAATGGAATGGAGAATAACCTAGGTTAGCTATTACTATTACAATATAGTTAGAATATTTTGGTGTCTATTAATATTTAGAGTACCACCATTACTAAAAATCTTAGGCATGGCTGCTGTGCTATCATAAATAGTCAGATATTATCATCTTAGATATTTCCCTCCTTATACACATTACCTATAGAATTTGTGCAAAAATTGGCACAGAGCAGATAAAGACATGCTCAAAAACAAACGAGAGTGCACCCAAGGTCCTAAGGCAGGAGCCAAGGGCAGCGTCCCGCAATGGGAAACAGTCATGGAGCACGCTGAAAACACCACTTCCTCTCAGGAGACCCAACACAGCCACCGCCACAGCCACTGCTGTGGCAAAAGTGCTTGACACCACAACAGTAACCACAGCTACAGTGCAGGTGGCCCACTAGACACCCCACTGCAGTGACACAAGGAGAGTCACCAGTGAGGACCAGAAAAAGAAGAGGACATCTCTCTCTCTCAAAGCCCACTCCAGTGTAATAGAAGAAGCAACTGCTCTACCACGCCCCTGCTGTATTTCTGATTTTAGTAATTTCTGTCTTCTCTCTTTTTTTCTTGGTCAGTCTAGATAAGGGTTTGCAAATTTCGTTGGTCTTTTTAAAGAATCAAAATTAAACAAAACAAAGCTATTAAGCAGTCTGCAAAGCACCATTGATATAAATATTTTAATCAGACATTAACTTTACATAATCCTTTTAGGGTATAATAATCTTTAAATATATTGTGTAACTTGTTAAATATGTAACTATCACTCAGTTCCTTTGACAGACTTTGTTACAGGAGATTGAAATCAAGCTCAAAACTCATTAAGTTCTAAGTTTTTTCCTTCCTCTTTTTTTTTTTTTTTCCTGCATCTTTTCTCTTATGACAGTTTTGAATTTTCTAAATCAGGTAGTTAAGATCATTTTTGTTTTCAAGAGTTCATCACAGTACATTTCTATATCATTAAATAAAAAGATTGTACTCATAACAAAACAAAATAAACAAAAAGACATTGTGATATCCATGATAATTAGGTAATACATTTACACAAGTTTTAAAGTATTGCAAGTCAATCTATCAATCAGATTATAAATCATATGCTTCATTGTGGTTGAATATTAAGTGTATTTTTTTTTTCTTATGGTGTTCAGCAATGGAGCAGAGAAGCAACAGCCAATGCCCAAAAGTGGGCAAACAAGTGCACTTTAGAACATAGTGATCCTGAGGAACGAAAAACAAGTATGTAAATTAATAAATATTTGTTGAATAAATGAACAAATAAAATAATAATGATCCATTGTAGGACATTGCATTAAGAAGACTATGTTGCTTATACCACTGCCTTTTTAAAGTCAAAGTATCTATGTAGAGATAATTACAATAAGAACAATCTTATGCCTGTTTGTTGTTTACATTATACAAATAATGTCTCACACAGTATCTCATTTGCTCCTCTCAACCATCTCATGAGTAAAGCAGGTCATATATCATCTTTTTGCATTTTAAAAATTAGAAAACCGTAATGTGGGGGGAAAGTAACTTACCCAAGGACACACCTGAAGTAGTACCATACGAGAAATTTTTAACCAGGCTTTCTAATTTCTAACCCACTGCCTTTTTTGTGGTATTATGTAGCTGTTGAGTGTATTAAAATCTATTTTTTGTATTCATAAAATATATTAAAGTTATGTTGAGTTTCTGAGTATTGTTCTAAAATACTAAACCCTTTTAAATTATATTAACATTATATCATATTTAAATTTTACAAAAAAAATAATATTTTGAAAATGTTTATTTTTTAATTTTTTATATCAGGCAGTCAAGTATTTTGTACAGACTGGGTGCTTACAATGCACAGAATACTATATTAGACTAATAAAAAAAGACATATGGAGGATTATAAAAACTACGAGAGGAAAAAAACTTATGTGCATGAACTTTACATATTTACTTACTTATCAAGAATGACATACATGTAGGCAAGCCCAATTTGTTTTTTTGCGTTTTTTAAATTTATTTTTTAAATTTTAATAATATTTTTTTATATTCTAGGATGTTGTTTCAGAGCAGTTGGAAGGGAGGGGGAGAGGGGAAAGGGGAGGGAAATGTGGTGGAAGAAGGAGAAAGGAGGAAGTACGAGATTGAGGCCTGTGGCAGCCCCATCATCCCCATAGGGGACACTGGGGGGCTTCAAGTGGTGGCTTGGTAATTGCCAGGCTGGGTACAGATGTCAGGGTCTGTGGCAAAAGCCCTCACCCCCCCACCCCCCAGCTCGGGAACCCGGGGCCCTTCTTGCTGCTGCTTAGTGGACATCTCTGTGCTGGTTGCGCATGTCAGGGGGGCATGGCTGAGGCCCTTGACCCCCCACCGAACTGGCTAAGGAGAGCCCAGGGCACTTCCTGCAGTGGCTCAGTGGTAGTTGCTAGGCTGGGCAAGCTAATTTGAAAGTAGTGAATAATCTATGTGTTTTTCCATCAAACTATTGTTATACGTTATTGATGCTGTAATAATGAAATTTTGAGGAGAGATAACTGAATTCAGTGGGAGATTGAAACAAATGGTCTCGAAGACCCAAGTCTACTGTTAGATTCTTAGTTTCTTTCCTTCTCCATTATAAGAGATTTTTAGGAGAGATAACTGAATTCAGTGGGAGATTGAAACAAATGGTCTTGAAGACCCAAGTCTACTGTTAGATTCTTAGTTTCTTTCCTTCTCCATTATAAGAGATTTTTATGAATATTTTATACTCTCTTTAAGCAACATGTAGACATTACATTTTAAGCTACTAAAATGTAAATATTAAATGAGGTTTTGCAAAAAATAGGGAAGTGTTTCTTGGCTGTAAGGCACTTCTTGTCTAACTCTCTGAGGAGGATTTGGGCTATGACATTCTGACTTCCTGGTTAAAGGAAGACTCATAAATTTTGAAAACCATCATTCCTCCTGGTGTCAGTTATTTCTTGATTGTGACTCTTAAATGGCTGACCATAAAGCCCTTTTTTCAAATTTCACATGAAATCATAAATATTTTACAGAGACAGGAATTGTAGGCATTGATTGCTGTCTTTAACAAGCTTGCAATACAAAGCTAAGAGCACAGGAGGCATACACACACAAAGAATTTAGCAAGTAAATAAATGCATCTTTGACAATACAGAGGGAGAAGAATTTTTTTAAAGAATGAAGTCTTCTCAACCTACTCAGAGCTTTGTGTGTTCAGGCCAGCCTCAGTGTGTTAGGCAGTTCTGACTTCTAATCAGCTTTCTAGCTAAGGAACTAAGGCACCTTCCTGTTTATTAGTCAACAGTTAGTCACTATGGGCCCTGTGTTGGAAGGGCAGCATCTTTGTTTGTGTAGTCAATTTCTTTTGCCATTGCATGTTTTATTGCTTTCCTCATGAATGATCTATTTTTTCTTAGGTAGGATATGCGGTGAGAATATCTATATGTCAAGTGATCCCAATTCCTGGTCAGATGCAATCCAAACCTGGTATGATGAAAGTCTAGATTTTGTCTATGGTGTAGGATCAAAGAGTCCCAATGCAATGGTTGGACATTATACTCAGGTAAGAGGAATGGATGAAAATACCTCTGTCAAAAATTTTCTAATATAAAGAGCTTCTCCACATTATGACAGGTTTCAATCTTCAATTTGGGGGAAGAGCCTGCGTAGGTATAATACAGTCTTGGCATTTGGCTGGTATGTCACCTAGAGCTGTCATTTTCACTCATGGTCTGCCAAACTCTTGGTAGGGAAGCATACTCTGCATTGTTTCTACATTATAAATGATGAACTGGTGACTGTACATGGAAATTTAATATTTTATAAGTTTATGACTTTGATTCAATAATATAATATTTTTAATAGGTATATGGCTACAAACTACAACAGTAACATTTTTCAGTTTTGCATTTGCTACTATTTGTTTTTTGATATTTTTCCTTTTTCCTAATGTGCTTTCATGTATTTATTCCATTATGGATTTATTTGTAGCTTGTTTGGTATTCATCTTACCTCGTTGGATGTGGAATTGCCTACTGTCCCAATCAAGATAGTCTAAAATACTACTATGTTTGCCAATATTGTCCTGCGTAAGTACACACTTTAGAGTTCAATGCTAATAATTCCACCTGAAATTTAATACTGAAAAATTCTTATATATTAAACCAGAATAAAAAGCATATTTCAGGAAAGCAGGTGGGGGAATAAGTGTTTGGAAATGTTTTTAAAGTTGAGACACATTCAGCTTCTCAGAGAAGAGAGCAACTTGTTGGTTCCAAGTATAAAATTGGAAGCTCTGGTTCCTCATTTATAAAACGATGTCTTTTCTCTCAGTTGGCTTTCTCTCAGGTCAGAGTTACTTCGTGCGCATGTGTAGTGTGCATTTCTCTAGATTTGGCTTCATCAGTTCTTGCTGATTTCACACTCTAAGAGTGTAGAAGCTTGATTAGTTAAGCAAGAGGTGCTGGTGGGATAGTGAGTAGGGGTCAGACATATTGTGATTATGTCCCTTTCTGCTCAAATATTCTTACTCCTGCTTATCTAAAAACAAAAAAACACAAAAAAAACACTTATTAACATTACAAATGATTCATTTTGGGGGTCTCAAAGGCTTTCAGGAGCTCTTTAATGTATTTACATTTTTTAAAAAGCCCTTTAATTTTTAATTCTTTTTTTAAATTGACCATCTCGCCAATACAGCTTAGGTTTATTAATCCAGATTTCACAGGTCCTTTTGACCTATCACCAGATGGCAGGGGGTTACCTTATGTGTCCTCATCAGCTGTAACATTATTACTAACATAACTTAGCATAGAGCTTTTGAACCATAGATGCTATACATTTGGGTAGGTATACCGTGTGAAAAAAGCCCTTTTAAGCCCCCCAAAATGAATCATTAAGTCTTGGCTTTTCAGAATTTTTTACAGAAAACTCCATGACTATCTTGCAAGGTCCTGAAGGGGCAGGAAACATGCCCCTTCATCAAACAATATGTTTGAAGTTATCCACAAAATATTTCTTTTTTTTATTCTGCTTTTATTATTATTTATTTATTTATTTATTTATTTATTTTGGTGGCTGGCCAATATGGGGATCTGAACCCTTGACTTTGGTGTTACAAGGCTGCACTTTAACCTACTGAGTTAGTCAGCCAGGCCCCAATATTCTAAAAAAATTCTTAAGTCTTGGCTTTTCGGAATTTTTTACAGAAAACTCCATGACTATCTTGCAAGGTCCTGAAGGGGCAGGAAACATGCCTCTTCATTAAACAATATGTTTGAAGTCATCCAAAAGAAATTCTACAGATATATTGAAGACATATTTACAATATGTGCGTTAGTTTTAAATTTTTTTAACATTTGAAATTTGTCACCACTTGGTTCCCCAAACCAAGCCTCCTGCAGGATTTGAGACTGTGGATAACCCAGGTGATGTAAGGTTCCGTTTTGAGAACTATGACCTCCAAAGTCATTTTCTTGCAAGAACCTATTAGGGTTTAGTAGAGAGAATTGAAAAGCCCTAGGAGAAGGCATCCAAACTCATTGCCTGGCCCTCACAAGGGGCAAGATGGAACCAGGTATTCAAAGTGACAGTTGGAGGGAATAATGAGAGAAAGCAGGGGAGAGAGAACTTCCAGAACACTTTTATATCTATTTCACAATTTTTCAAGTGCTCCCACACATACAGCCATATTCTGTGTGAGGAGACAGACATCCAGCTGCACTGCCTTGGGACCTCGCCCCACTTGGCACTATTGAGATTTGGACTCCCGTGTGTTCTCAAATGAATAAAGTGGCCAGTAAGATAATGATCATCAGTGAGTTGCAGGTTAGTCACTGTAAGACTCTTACACCCTGGATATTGATGTTTATCAAAACATTTTTTTTTAAAGTAACATTCCTTTTTGGTAAACATAAAAATCTCACACATGCCACCTCTGGAAATTCACAAACCTTCCTAAACACACACCCCAAAACACATACACCACTTACTCAAAAATTACTACCTCCATTCAGAATTTTTAAGAAATGTGCTGGGGCTTTATTGTTCCTAGTTCATATTAGAGAAATTATGGTATTTTTAATCTTTCAAATATAGAATGGTATTGTAACATGGAGTGTTTGTTTCCCCTTGACAACTCCGTACCCCCAGGATATTCTCCTGTCTCTCTAGTGTATGTTTTACCCCTAGCTGGCATCTTCTTGGGCACTGCCTTAGCAATTTGACCGAGTTTACTGGAAGATGAAGAGGATATTGCCACATTGAAATACACTCTGAAAACTTTAGAGTCTAGTTATCCACTATTTAGTTGCTCAGCTTGTGGAAAACGGCCAAGGAGATGGGTCAATGTGTGAAGCATTTTCTTAATGTTGATAGTTATCTGAATTACACATTGGAAATTGTAATTTTTTTAGTTCTGTTGACATACTAAAAACATTGATGCTGCCTTTGGAGTATAAACTGTGAAAAATTAAAAGTGAAAATATTTGATATTGTGTATTTCAAATTTCAGTGGGAATACTGTGAGTAGGAAGAATACCCCTTACCAACAAGGAAGACCTTGTGCCAGTTGCCCTGGTGACTGTGACAATGGACTATGCAGTAAGTTTGAAGTGATTCATTTGCTACTATGTTACAAGTTGATATTTTCTTTTTTTCAATGAATTAAATCTCCTAAAGTAAACAATTTAAATAATGTATTTATGCAAAAAATGCTTAATAAAGTGTGTTTATATAAACATTATTTTACTTTAGTAATATATATATTATTTGTCATGAAAAAATATTACAATATGTAACATACTGGAACATCTACCATCAATGCGTTTTTGTGACTATGCAGAGCCCATTAATATTAACTGTGCACCTTTCTGGTAAATCATTTATCTCATCAAAGTTACCATCACTATGTCAAATAGTGGTATTTCAAAAGAATCAAAATGTATAATTCTTAGTGTTAGACCGTGTTAAGGCTGTGTCTAGGTAGGCACACCAAATATTAGTGTTTCTTTTGTGCTAATGAGTTCATCAGCTGATTTTCTCACTTCTATAGTATAATTAGAATCACAGTGTTTGTCTTTATGATCACCTTCACTGTAATATATATTATATGATGTTTAATATCTGAAATAAATACATAAATATATGATAAATATAATATATAAGATAATTTGTATAATAGTAGTTTTGTGCACATTTTAATGACAAAATCCAATCTGTATACAGTATTGGCTCACAAAACCCACAAACCTATTATTGCAGAAGAGAATAAAATAAATGTCATGTATTTCATTTTTAAAATTGCCGTGAGTAGAAGTAAAAATAGCTGTTGCTTTTTTTAGTTGGGGTATTTGTGTTAAAACTATAATGAATAATAGAGTTCACCCACTCATTAAGAGAGTTTTTTACCTTTCAAATGCATTCATCACTTTTTTCCCCTTTCCTTCCTTCCTTCCTTCCTTTTTTTTTTTTTTTTTTTTTGGCTGGCCAGTACAGGGATCTTGAACCCTGGACCTTGGTGTTATCAGTACCACGCCCCAAACAACTGAGTTAACCAGCCAGCCCTGCATTCACCTTTACTTAGCATTTTTTCTGACCCAATTGTATAACAATAATTCAAACTATTGCTGATATCAAATCAGTAATTCAACCAGAAAAGAAAAAGTTGAATGCTTATACTTCTGCTGGATGCTATTTGCTATGTTTGAAAATCATCCTATTGGTACTCAACTGAAAGATTTAAAATGAAAGAGCGACAAGGTCAGAGCTTTCTGGCGATAGTATGCAGAAACAATCAGTAGAAGCCAGCTAGGAAACTGTTGAAAAATGTGGGTTTAAAAAAAAATATTGTCTTTACTGCAGGGCTGCAAAACGAATGAAGAAAAACTGACAGATTTGAGAGGCAGAGAGTAGAATAGTCAGTGTTTGTTACTTGTGTTGGCTGAATGCTGGTCAAAAGAAGAGGGAAAGTTTTTCAGGTTGATTCCAGTTCCTGAATTAAACTGCTGACTGGTTGGAGTGCCATTTCACTGAGACTGTTGGAGGGATGCAGGGACACCATACTCAAAAATTGTCAGCCTTGTGGGTAGTATGATGAATTTAGTTTGAGATTTGTTGAGTTTGGGATGCCTAGGGGACATCTAACTAGAAACATCAAAAGAAAAAAGGGCATACTGTCCTTGTTTTACATCTGTATCCACCCATAAAGATCATTTACTTCAAAAAAAAAAAAAGGAAAAAAAATTGGAGTGCAAAGTCATACAGTCCAATAGTATGAGATGATGTAAATGTTCTCTATCAACATTGGTCTTGTAAGTTTAGCCACTAGTCACATGTGGCCTCTGAACATTGGAAATGTGACTAGTAAGATTAAGGGAACAAAATATTAATTTAATTTATTTAGATTTAAATAGCTACATGTAGCTAGTGGCTCCCATATTGAACTTTGTAGGTGTAGAGATATTTATTTACATTCATTTTACTCTGCAAGCTGAGGGAAAACTGTATGTCAATTCATTTTAGAAAATATCACTAAATTTAAAATTAGAAAATTGATGGATTAATCTGGAAGTTCTCTCAGTTAACTCATATGTCCCTCAAGACATGAAAGGTCCATCATTTTTTATCAAAAAAAATGTTTTGATAAACATCAATATCCAGGGTGTAAGAGTCTTACAGTGACTAACCTGCAACTCACTGATGATCATTATCTTACTGGCCACTTTATTCATTTGAGAACACACGGGAGTCCAAATCTCAATAGTGCCAAGTGGGGCGAGGTCCCAAGGCAGTGCAGCTGGATGTCTGTCTCCTCACACAGAATATGGCGTATGTGTGGGAGCACTTGAAAAATTGTGAAATAGATATAAAAGTGTTCTGGAAGTTGAGCTCAGTTAACTCATGTGTCCCTCAAGACATGAAAGGTCCATCATAGTGTAAATGATGCTAATTTGTTTGTTCACTCCTACTTCCTCTCTCATGCACTTTGAATGTATGGATTATTTTGCTGCTACTGAGGAAAATGACAGTGAGGTAATTAATCTGTTTCTGTTACAGCCAATGGTTGCGAGTATGAAGATCTCCTTAGTAACTGTGCTTCCTTGAAGAAAACAGCTGGCTGTGAACATGAATTGGTCAAGGAAAAGTGCAAGGCTACTTGCCAATGTGAAAACAAAATTTACTAAAATGCCCAGTGCAGGTCATGTAGGACTATGTGCAGAAGGTCTGCATCATGTAACTGACACACACCAGGGGAAAATTGTAGGTATGTTAGTTGCAAATTTGATCCCAAACAGCAATGCACCTTTTTATCCTAGATCTTTACACAAATCTCTTCCATGCAATAATTTGCAAAAATAGCATAGTGTATGGTGACAACTTTGCACTTTGATATAAATTTGGTGCTTTAGCTATAATGAATTGAATGAAGTTGAGGATTGTTAAAGTTGTATAATTATAGGATTTAGGTCACTAGAACTTTGGATCAAAGTGGAGAATTGAGTGTTTCCTGAAACAGCATACTAAAGCCTGTAATACCATTGTCAGTCCTACTACATGATTTTTTACCTGCATAATAAATAAATTCAAAGCTTGACATCTACATTTGTCTTACGGCCATTCTTTTAAATGAAAGTAATCAGCTTTTAGAATAAAGAACTTATCTAAGCAACTACATGGGTGTGATTCTTATGCAATGTTTTTATAGTACTCATAATTGACCTCAGCTAGACGCAGCCCAGATAAATGATTATACAAAGCAAAACTTCCAAATTTTATAGTTGCCTATAAAATTAAAAAATAAATCAGTTCCATTCTTAATTACTTTATCTTTTTTGACTTTTTGATCTCCTCTGTACTGGTTTAGTTGATTAAAAAACAGAAAACAAAAAGCAAAACAAACAAACAAAAAGTGACATTTAAGACCTGCAGTTCAAAGGTAGTCAGGCATAGAGTGCCTCATAATTTTATAAATTACTTAGTGACTGAATCCTATTGACTTCCATTTTTACTATCTTAAAAACTTGTTCTGTAATTATAAAAATGGTGACAAAAAATAGTTTAAACCTTGAGGGGTATTGATTGAGTGATGGCATGAGGGAGCCCTCTGAATTGTGGGTTACTAAAATATATATATGTAAACATTACATGAACTATACAATTAAGATTTTGTGCACTATGCTGTACACAAGGTATGCCTCAATTTAAAAAAAAAAACCGATGCAAGAAGAAAAAGAGAGAGATAGAGAGAAAGAGAGGGAAAAAAAAGAAAAGTAAGATTTTACCATGGTATGGCATGGGGAACATGTTTGGGAGCAAAATCAGGTGTTTAGTTTGGGACACATTAAAAGTGGAGATGTGGAGAAGGCAGTTGAATATATAGATAAGGGTTCAGTCTAGAACAAAGATAAACATTTGGGAAACATCTTTGTATAGATGGTACTTATAACCATGCTATTACATGAGCTTGGTGAGAAGTCAGTGAAGCAATATGAAATCCCAGAATATGGTGAAGCTTGTGAAAACAAGATGCAAAGTTTCACCAAAAGTATCAAAAACAGGAGGATGACCAGATGGGAAATTAACCAGGAAAAATCAGAATTAATCTCTACTCTAGGCCTATTCGATTTAATGGATATTTATAGAACATTTCATCCAACAGCTGCAGAATATACATTCTTCTCAGCAGCACATGGAACATTCTCTAGAGTAAAACATATGTTAGGTCACAAATAAGACTCAACAAATTTAAAAAACTGAGTTATATCAACTAACTTGCCCAACCACAATGGAACAAAACTGGAAATCAACAACAAAAGGGACGCTAGAAACCATACAAATACATGGAAATTAAACAACATGCTCCTAAACAACAAATGGGTCAAAGAAGAAATCATCTAAACAACAAATGGGTCAAAGAAGAAATCAAAAAGGAAATTTCAAAATTCCTGGAAACAATTGAAAATGAAACACAACATACTAGAACCTATGGGATACAGCAAAGAAATTTAAAAATTCCTGGAAACAATTGAAAATGAAACACAACATACTAGAACCTATGGGATACAGCAAAAAGCTCTAAGAGGGAAGTTTATCATAATAAATGCCTACATCAAAAAAGAAGACCTCAAATAACTTAAGATTATACTTCAAGGAACTAGAAAAACAAGAACAAACCAAACCCAAAATTATTAGAAGGACAGAAATAACAAAGATCAGAGAAGAAATAAATGAGGGATTGAAAATAAAAAAGGAGGATGAAACAGGATTAAATAGCATAATGTAAATAGATGCCAGACAGGCAGATTATTACATTAATCTATGAGAAATTCCTCTAATTTAAAGCAATTTTAGCAATTTAGCATTTTTGAACCATAGTGTCATATGGATTGTGGAAGCACTTGCATTGTGGAAACACATAATTATTTTTTAAATTTTGCTGAACTAAATTTGTTTCTCTTTTTAATAGTTTATGCATATGAATCAAGATTTATCTCATAAATCTGTGTCTGTGTGTGACCTACTTTATCTAAATATTCAGCAGAATTTCTTTAAATGCTTATTAAAACTTGGGGCCTATTTGCTAGTGCTATTACAGATTTTGAAATTAGTTGAAAAAAAATTCTAATTAGAGGAAAGTATCAATCTACAGTTCTCTATATCTGTTCAGCACAAAATTCTGACCTTCATTGGATGCTCTTAATTAATGACTTCTATGCATGCAGGCAGTTAGGCAGTGCATTGGGATAGCAATGAGCAACCACTCAGGAATTTGTAATTAAAATTTTGCTTCTTAGTTAAACCAAGAGATGTTATCAATTTCTATTGATATGTTTGGGAAGTCCAAAAACCCTATGCAAGGTAACCTAGATTTACTCTCCTGTAGATATTTTTAGAATGTAATTAGAATTTATTAAGTGGAATCTTAATAAGAAAAGACTGAAATTAGACTGGGAATGTCTGCCTAAGGCAGTGGTTATTAGTCATCCCCCAACCAGCAGCATCAGCATCCCCTGGGAACTTGTTAGAACCTATTGGCTCAGAAACTGGGGGTAAGATACAGCAATGTGTGTTTTAAGCATTAGAGTTTCAGATTGACTGGCATAAAGCATGGAATAGGGGAGGCAGACACCAAATGTGGCAGCCTCCAGTATAGTCATTTGGGGAGGGTGCTCCACACAGGGCAAAGCTCTTTCATGAGCCTCATCATGAACCGAATGAGATGACTCCCAAAACCATTTCCCTTTGCTCTCATTTTATATTCAAAAAACAACCTTTTTATTACATGTTTAACCTTCTAAATACCCTATCACTGTGAAAGAGAAGTCCATAATGGAAGACATAATCATCCTAAACTTAAATGGATAGCTAATACTTTAAGTGATAGAATCAAGGGTAGCAAGCATCAAAAACCTGGAATGTGACAGTAACTAAGATGAAATTTAGGTTCAAAAATCAATTGCAGAAGAACAAGTTCAGCAGTACTTGGTGCACAAATACCTTATTTGAAAAAGACCTAGAACTTTTCTTTAAGTTCAAAACTGACTTACAACAAAAGTATGACAGCACTACCAGTGTGTTAATACAATCCAGACTGGATTTATAGGAAAATGTTTACTCAAGGCAAATAAAAGTCCCATTCTACTGTGCACTGTGGAGAATGCAACCAGAACCTTGTATTCTATAGTGATACTTAATTTTTTACCTATTCTTCAATTTATCAAAAATAAAAAAAAGAATACTTGTCATCCCTACCTCTTTAGTAAACATGAGATATCACTTTTTTAAGATGCCAATTTCCCTCTCAAACAGAACTACAGGGAAAAAACAAAGAACTTTTTTTTAAAAAGATGACCGGTAAGGGGATCTTAACCCTTGACTTGGTGTGGTCTGCACCATGCTCAGCCAGTGAGCTAACCGGCCATCCCTATATAGGATCCGAACCCGTGGCCTTGGTGTTATCAGCACCGCACTCTACCGAGTGAGCCACGGGCCGGCCTAGTGATACTTAATTTTAACAGAGTACTTGAAGAGGTGTCCAAAGGATGGTGAAAGGGAAGTGAGGTATATTAAAATCCTATAAGCCATTAGGACATCCCATGGAGCCAACTTGGATACCAAACCCGCAGCATCCTACAGACATGAGCATGGCTGCATCTCACTGAATGATCATTAAATGATAATTTTGGAGAGTCAGGAACATTCTTATGCCTGCTTTGGTTTTGACACTGCAATATTTAGTGGCCACCTCACTCCCTTCACAGGTGACAAAACTTTATAAAAGGAATTCAAGTGGGAAAGGTGACAACTTGATGTTGCTTCTTCTTGGAGTGAGATGATCAGAAGCATGTGGGTAAGGCTGGTTCTTATGGTAAAACACGTAACAGTGACCTAAGGCTGGAGATTCTGCTCTCTTACCTACCTCACTGTAAATCCTAATGTTACAATGTTTGCCACCTCCACAATTACAAATATCCCAAACCACCCCCCCCCCCAAAAAGGCGGATGTACGGTACAGCAGGTGTCTGTGTGTGACCTACTTTATCTAAATATTCAGCAGAATTTCTTTAAATGCTTATTAAAACTTGGGGCCTATTTGCTAGTGCTATTACAGATTTTGAAATTAGTTGAAAAAAAATTCTAATTAGAGGAAAGTATCAATCTACAGTTCTCTATATCTGTTCAGCACAAAATTCTGACCTTCATTGGATGCTCTTAATTAATGACTTCTATGCATGCAGGCAGTTAGGCAGTGCATTGGGATAGCAATGAGCAACCACTCAGGAATTTGTAATTAAAATTTTGCTTCTTAGTTAAACCAAGAGATGTTATCAATTTCTATTGATATGTTTGGGAAGTCCAAAAACCCTATGCAAGGTAACCTAGATTTACTCTCCTGTAGATATTTTTAGAATGTAATTAGAATTTATTAAGTGGAATCTTAATAAGAAAAGACTGAAATTAGACTGGGAATGTCTGCCTAAGGCAGTGGTTATTAGTCATCCCCCAACCAGCAGCATCAGCATCCCCTGGGAACTTGTTAGAACCTATTGGCTCAGAAACTGGGGGTAAGATACAGCAATGTGTGTTTTAAGCATTAGAGTTTCAGATTGACTGGCATAAAGCATGGAATAGGGGAGGCAGACACCAAATGTGGCAGCCTCCAGTATAGTCATTTGGGGAGGGTGCTCCACACAGGGCAAAGCTCTTTCATGAGCCTCATCATGAACCGAATGAGATGACTCCCAAAACCATTTCCCTTTGCTCTCATTTTATATTCAAAAAACAACCTTTTTATTACATGTTTAACCTTCTAAATACCCTATCACTGTGAAAGAGAAGTCCATAATGGAAGACATAATCATCCTAAACTTAAATGGATAGCTAATACTTTAAGTGATAGAATCAAGGGTAGCAAGCATCAAAAACCTGGAATGTGACAGTAACTAAGATGAAATTTAGGTTCAAAAATCAATTGCAGAAGAACAAGTTCAGCAGTACTTGGTGCACAAATACCTTATTTGAAAAAGACCTAGAACTTTTCTTTAAGTTCAAAACTGACTTACAACAAAAGTATGACAGCACTACCAGTGTGTTAATACA